CTTACTGGCTTAATAATTTTCGCAATTTTTTTAAAGTGTCACAGATTATAAATACAAAATATGAAACTTTTTGTACACGAGTTTTTAATAGATGGCGTTACTATCCATGATTCCAAAGTGAATATTTGAAAACATAATTTCAAAACATGCGACATGAATGATCTAAGAATAATCTCTGCAGATTAAGTTCTCAAGAAAAAGTTACAAAAAGCTACGCAGATTCATATAAACTCAAACTTTGCAAAAGTAGAGCCTACTTTTTGAGTTTGATGTCGAGAATTAGATCTACAAACTGGCATATTTGTTTCATCTCGTTGCAAAGACACGAACAACAAAGAAATAATATATTTTTATAACCAAAAGCAATAATGTAACTATTGAGTCCCATTTAAATTAAAAGACATAAATGAAACCGCGTTCGTATATTTTAGTTTGAATCTTAAGAAGAAATGATTAGGCAATCAAGGGGTCATTTATCATGTCTGTCGATTCCAAACAGCAAACCTTAATACTGTCCTCGTTCACTCTAATGTCCCAGACTGGTACGTCAACCCATTATTGCACAGTATTATACTTTTAAATTTACTTTGTCGGGACGCACGAAATGCTTCTTTAAGCTAGTAGAGATATCGTATATTTTCAAATAAGCGAATCCTAAATCCAAGACAAGAATCATCTCAGATTTACGGCTGATGTCCTTTAAATTGAGCTTTGTATCCGCTTAATTGGTATGGTGATGGTAACGAATTTCAAAACTGTTGCTTTGAATGAAACTCTTGAAAACTAGTTATTATAATGTATTAAATGTTTTTTTTTTTATGATTGATAGATTACTGGTGGCCCGGAGGCCTTTTCAGCTTCACCAGGACAGGTGGGCGAGCAAAGGCTCTGCCAGGAGGGGTATTAAATGTTCTGCCTGCTCATTTAAATTTAAGTCCAGTATATAATTTTCTGTTTAAATTGTATGGTGTATGTAATTCTTCGCATGTTTGGGATTATTCACTTATGAAAGGTATTCAATGCATAATTGATTGTAATTTATACGAAAACAATCAAAGCTGTAAAATTTTTGAAGGGCGGTTACTAAGTACTCTGCTTAATTCTTGCGCAAAGCATTTTCTAGGTTAGGATATTAAATACTATGATGAATTTGTCTTAGGGGTATTACATTTACTATCGTAATACAAAGAGCTAAAACATTATTGTAAATAAGTTGCTGATTCCATTTCTGCACTATAGTCATGAAACTATTGGGAGCATTTTATATAAATTTCAGTACTATAAACAGACGTTAACGTTAACAAACTCTATTAAAATATGATTAAAATATGATTAAAATATATTTATTTAGAGTCAATTCTCATGTCCATCATTAATGTAAATAATATTATTAAAGTATTCAGACTAATGAGCTATAGAAATAATTCATGACTTAAATACAAGTTTCATGACTGTCATAAGCTTTCGTCCACTTCGGCTATGCCAAAAAAACGCGGGGCGACACTCAATGACGGCCATTACTGATTGAGCCCAGTTATAAACAATTATAATTTAAAGGCAGAAGCAGGACGTGCTGTGGAATCGGATAAGGTAATTTATGTTTCTGAATAAACGGAAGAGAAAAAATATGTGAAACTGTAGTAAGAAACCAGGTGGGCTGTGAGCCCACTTAACACCAGGTGGGCTGTGAGCTCGTCCACCCATCTAAGCAATAAAAAAAATAAAAAAAAATAAAGGAAATATAACTAAAGAGTGTTTGGATTTTTCGGCGAAAGTCAAAACATGTGACTTTGACCTCATGTCTCATGGTAACTTCGACCTCATGGTTCAACTTCGCTGCGACTGCGTCTCCGAAAGCGGTATAACACCAGGCGAACCTTGAGCTCGACTACTAGACCAATTAGAATAATTCCAATTTAATAAAGGGAAATGTCAAGTCTATAGCTCATTTATTCAATTCATTCATCAACTATGAATAAAACAGATTTGTTTTAAGTTTCGATTAACCATGTCCCGCTACCTCCTAACACACACAAAATTTTAATCAAAAAATGTGGAACTCTGCATCGACACGAACTACATTTTTCCAATCATTTCAAATTTATTTCAGGGAAATAGATTTTCCAATCATCCACTTGGAACCAAATAAAAGATTCATTCAAATTTGATTCGTGTTTCAATCAAGACTATTTGAAAGGAGAGAAATACCTATAGCATGTCAAAGCTTTGGTAATGCATTTCAATAAAATGCAATGCCCCGTTTCTAATGTCACATCCATTTCGGAGGAAATGAGTTTTCTAAAGATCTAGGAATTTCGCTCGGTATTTGCGTGCTGCTTATACAATTGCATATATTTCTCGAATGGGTATTTGTGAATTAATATACTATTTGGTTGAAATTGGTTAAATTTTGAGTTTAAAAATAGAGGTTTCACCATCGTTTATTATGCAGAACGCAAGAATCCAGGTTCTAACGCATATTAAAACAGTCTTTAAAATCAGATTACACTCGAAAACGGTGGCGTGTTACGATTGAAATTAAAAATAAATCCAATTTTTTTCATAAACAAGCTGACCTGGCAGACTTCGTAGTGCCTCAATCGATAAATAAAAGACCTAAACTTTCATATAAAATAAAATTAAACCAAACAAAAGGATTCCGTCCGACGGGGGGCACATCAAGGGAAAATCAAAATTGTTATTTTTATTTAATTCCGAGCTTTTTCATATTTTTCATATTTCATATATAACCTTTTAAACCTTCTCTGGACTTCCACGAATAATTCCAAAATTAGCCAAAATTAGCCAAATCGATCCAGCCGTTCTCGAATTTTAGATGAACATCAATTCATTTTTATATATTTATAGATGTTTCGTCATGTCGTTGTCTACATTTAAAGCGCTTATGTTCGTTTGCGTCACAGTGATGCAATTTGTTATGTATCTATTTTCATCGTCTTGTCATGGAAATTACTACGCCCTTCGTCTTGTCCTTTGACACTTTTTTTTCTTTTACTTTTTTTTCCTTTTTCTCTCATGTCTGACTAGCAACTTTTATATTTTAGTATTTTTCTTGTGAGATCATTACTTTCATCAGTACTGTCAAGTACTGTTTCGTATTTACGTCATACATTTTTAAATTCGACGTAGACAAATGAGTATACATTTTAATTTTATACGCAATGATATGAAAATAATTTGAAATTTAAATTATTATTGTTTTCTTTGTGTATATTCTGATGATTCGCGAGTCTAGAAAGTACAATGCATCCTGTGTAAAATTTAAAACGATCTTTTATTAAACACACTTAATAAAGTTACTAAAGAAAATGATAAACTCAAGGCAGTTCAGGATCTTTAAGGATTAATTTTGATTAATAGGTTTAACTCTTACGTTTTACGCGACGGCTCTAACATGGAATCATTATCCGACTATTCAACCTTCCGACCAAAAGTATAATAAAATACTATTTGTAATTTTATTTTAAGTTTCTGTTCAAACTACCATCTAATTTGAGTATGATAGATCCCGAATATAAAACTTATCAAAATAATCTCTTAAGTTCATATATCTCCATTAGAATTTGTCAAAATAATTTCTTAATGTTAGAATGTGTGCCGGATTAGCGAATATTTCTGAGAACGTATTCTCGTTCCGCGTCATTGGCTGAATGTTATGCAATTCAACGTCCATTGCAGGGGATTAAATATTTTCGCCGATTTCGCTCGGAATCTGACATTGGCAGTTCAAGTACGAGAATTCCAGAAACTTACAGTCGGTAGGTACTTCTAGTTGGGACATTCAATTTCAATTTTACGTTATTACAAACTGAACATGTATGTACTCACAGACGAAGTACAACGATCGATTTTGTGATATTCGTGAGTTATAAAGTGAATACATACTTTAGGTCTATCCAAGTAGCCAACATGTTTTGATTAAATTTACTATTTACAAATATACAATCACTCCAAAATATTATTATATTGGACAAGGTGATGCGGAATTTCGTTAGAGAGGAATAAATAAGTTGTTTTACATATCTAGTCACCTACCTTAATTTTGTTAGTTGTTCTAATTATTTTAAATGTGTAATGATAGGGTAGACACAATTATCTTATCATTTATACCATATATTATGTATATGTCTTAATTGGGACAAAATATGTTTTATAACGAACGTTATATCATCAGTTTTTAGATAGTGTTTCAGTGATACTTTTTCCATGTGACGAATTTCCAATGAGGATGTGTTTTAGCTTTGTCGATGTTTGCAACTTATACACTTATTTGTAAGATTTCCTGATCGTGTTTCGGTCTAAAATATGTCTTTCGAATACACATTTTATTTTCGCTTTAGAATTATTTTACCTCGTGGGGAATCGTTAAACAGCGAGAGACACTTCTACGAGCTGAGAATTTTAAACGAACACGCAGAGCCATAAACCGGTATCCTTGTAGTTACAGTGCCTTTGAGAAACACGCTGGCGTCGTTATAACCACGCAAACTATGTATGGTCTCATGACGTATCAACATGTACTACGTTCGAAATGTTCGCGTGAATGTCTCTTTAGATTTCAATGTTGACTGCTCGTGTCGTAAAACCGACGACTGACCTGTGTGTGTCATTTGAATGGAGTGCTACAATGTTAATATTCGAGAAATACATCGAGTCTGTACATTTAGCCTTACATTTTAGCAGACGCGGCACTGCAGATATTCGTTGCGAATGCTACGTTCTGATAAAATGATCGTGTCAGACGAAAGATTAGCGTTCACGCGAGCGACTCTTAGTATTTTTCAAAAGCTCCCGCTGAAATATCTTAAGATTGTTGTTGTTCTTTGCTTTTATTGGTCCTACACTACGACCATAGCCTATAAGTTATTATATTGGTATATTAGAATTACAGAACGAAGCTCAGCATTTAAATTACAGCTATTTGAAATTCATCAAAGCTTTTCTTCTTACGGTTTCGTTAGGCTATGTTTTATACTTACGTCTTCGTTAAATTCATCGTCTTCCAAGGCAGAAGAGAGAGGTCTGCCGCGCTGGGCGCGTGCACCTCTGAAGTCGAACAGTTCATCGTTGGGTGTTTCCATGTCGTGCAGGGCGCTCTTGATGCGGTTGTCGACATCAGCTCGAATACTTTCGCGTTCGGGTTCGCGAACTATAGGCGCTTTGCCGTCCAAACGGTCAAGCACGGGACGGTAGTAGCTCTCGCCCTTGTTGTAGTTGCAGTCGTAGACGCGGGTACGCCTTGTTCTTCCAACACGGCTCATCTTGCTTTGTTTTCGGTACCCTGTGAACCGGATAAAAATGCTAATTTACTTTATCTGATCTTCTTAATAATATTTTGATTCATTTAAATTCGAAAGAAACGTTTCATTGGTTTTTCACAGACTTCAATCCAAAAAAAAAGAAGCCGTAAGTCGATTCGGGGTTTATGCTTTTTTTTTCTTTCTTAAATTAGGTACACGTGAATAGGTGTTTAATCCGCTTACTTATCGGCTAATGCAAAATAATGAAACCAAATTTCCTTCGCATAAAAACATAACCTTCTTTCGGTACTCTCGGCACTTTTGATTTAGTATACCTACTTGATTTTGGATATTGAAATTCTAATTTATTAATAAAAAGTTTAGTTAGATATTTGATTAAAATATTATTATTATTACGTCGATAATCCAGAAGACAGTTTCAAAATTTACCTTTTACAATTAAGGATGAATAAACACGGCTCGAACGTTCGACTGTAAATACTAAAGTGGCTCTTACATCACTGGAGCTGTCTTTATAAACGAAACATTCGTTTCGGGTTTGTTTATTTATAATTACATGATGAAGCGTAGTCTATGGTAATGTGTTGGCACTAACTCGGCTCCGGATAAATCACACCAAAACATTGTGTGGGTCGAAATGAATCGTTGTTTTAATATGGAATTATTCGTAGTTCCAAATAACCACAATAATGGTGGATAATGACTACATTGAGCTCTTATTAATTTATTTTTCTCTTGCAATTTTAATGCTGCGACGAGTAATGTGTGCCTCAAAGTTTTGGTTTTGATTTTTATTATGTATGTTGTTTAATTTACAATATATCATTCCAACAAACATGTCATTCTGTATTGCGGTTTGACTGAGACAAGTACAAATTGTACCTAACAAGTCATATTATTATCGTTTTGTTTTAATGCAACTAACATCATTATTATATTATTTAAATTAATATTATGCCCAGAAATTAACTCCAACAATCTAATATATCGCAAGAATTTGACTTTTTAGAGAGAATATAAGAACGTAAAAAAATCACTTTTCCTCGTGAAACTCGGATGGGAAGATTGATTTATTTTCACGAGTTTGAGATGTTATTAAGTTACCAAATACAATATTTGGCTCTATTTAAAAATATTTTTTTCAGAACAGTACTTCTTTCTGGATGAACGGTACGCTGTGTCCATATGTGCTAATGATAGCGTGCGTACATAGTTTCATGATGTCCGTTGAATATATAATAACATAACAAACAAACAGTCAAACTCACTTTTACAAAAACACTTTTACTGGTGGTAGGACCTCTTGTGAGTCCGCACGAGTAGGTACCACCAACCTGCCGTGAAGCAATAATGCGTTTCGGTTTGAAGGGTGGGGCAGCCGTTGTAACTATACTGAGACCTTACAACTTATATCTCATGGTGGATGGTGCATTTACGTTATAGATGTCTATGGGCTCCAGCAACCATTTAACACCAGGTGGCTGTGAGCTCGTCCACCCATCTAAGAAATAAAAATAAAATAAAAAAAGTTAGTGCAATATTCAAATATCAAGTAACACCTTAATCCTCCGAAACTACGAAATCTGTAAATTATTCGAAACCTCCGCAGCTAATAACATAAAAATAATAATTTAAATGAATTTAACCCAAAACAGTTTTAAATAGACCGCTGTGTTTTCATTCATGATCAAGTTTTTTTTTTTTCTTTCTTGAAAACATTTAGATTTTAACAACGAAACGAAGATTGTTTATCGTTGCGTGTAAAGTTATTAAATGTTCACCCCTCGGCGTAGGGCTGGTCGTCTGTACCTACTCATTAATATGAAAACAACGAATCTACTCGTTTCCATGTATGACGCCACAACTGCACATCGATGGAGGCTTACGAAAATATCTTTGTCCAAAGTTCATCCAATTTTTTTTTTTTCCTACCTTTGCTTGCCTTAAGAGGCTATTTCAGCTTCACCCTAACGTGTATAGGTGAGCTCACGGGGCTCAAACCGGAGAGTTGCTAACATTGACCCTAGCAAGAGCAGTGCTTCACAGAATCTACCACCGGATCGGAAACGCGACCCACTGAGAAGATCCGGCGAGAAACTCAGTGGGCTGTGTCTAGGGGTTAAGCCATCCAATAAGACTTTGGATTTAATATCGGGGCATTTTTGATTGTTACAATGCTATATGCAATAACGTTGTAAATCGATACCTATAGTTCATAGTTTTCGTGAAACATATTTAGTGTTCAGAGTCTGGATAAATTTGAATCGAATGTGTTTCATAAAAAAAAAACACGAGAAAATCATACTTTAGTGTATTTGATAGTGAGGCTGCTTTTTTATTGAATAGTTCAACTTTATGACGTATGATCATTTTCCTTTTAATCAGATAAAAACTAATGAGTATTATAATATAGACACAAAGAGATAGGTCGAGTGGTCTCAAGTGATGCTGCAAATGATTTTTAATGTGTTCTATAATGTGTTCTTGTTTCATTCATGTCATTAATGAAAAAACAAATAATTTTAAAACGAAAATTAGCGATACGAAAATGATAACGCTTATAGCAGATTGCAAATTACAGTGTACCACTAATGTACGCTTCAGTTTAATTTTCACATCGTACTCGAGCTAATTTAGCAAGGCAATTACTTCTAAAAGCATACCGAATGAAAATGCAGCATGGTAGCACAAAATACTCATCAAACACAGACGACTTTAATTTAGATGTGTAATAACTATGAATCGTTAGCATCTCTATAAACTGCGAAAATACCAGTTCCCTACCCTTTGACGTGCAAAGCGAACACGGTTATTTTAGATCAGTTTCACTAGACTAGTCTCGATTTGCAACCCGTATTGCCAATAAAGCACTTGCTTGCTTTGATGCGAAGTGGCTGCATTTAGTGTTTCCTAGTTCTGAGCGTCAATGGCACTTGGCTTTTCAATAAACCAGGATTAATGTTAGTTTTCAAGTTGCGTTGGAGTTTCCAGATATTATCGTGGAGTTCCAACGGGTCCCGGATCCTTTTGATTCACCATTCTGTGTTAGATTACACCACTATAGTTTGTAATGCTTATTTTTGTTGTTCAAAATTTCTGATAGTCTCAAAATAATATAATATAACAAAAACGTAAAAACAGAACAGTTCTGTACTATTTTCTCTTCTGTTTCTCAAACGTTTTTTTTTTGTTTGTTGACTGAATACCTGTTAACGCGTTTTAGTGCTCGCAATAAAAATAAACTTGGAACTAATTAGTGTTTTTCTTCAAAATGCCATCGATATAAAAGAGGAAGTTGGGCTATTAAGTTGATTTTGAATCTTAAGATCAGTGATTATGGTCTAATATCGATCATCCGGCAAACTCATTTTTTTTTATCTTTTGCCCCTTTGTTACTGAAAGAGTCAGCATTTGAAGACAATCAAATATGTTACGGTTTCTAAATAAGGCGAAAATCATTCTTCTCCCCGGAGATTCGTATCCTTTTCTAACTCAATTTGCCGTAGTAAAAGTATGTTTTATTCATCGAAAAGATTTTGTTGAACGTTAGGTCAAACTTTCCCCAAAACACTGGGTTCAGTTGTTTTTCAGTCGGTTTGTTTGTTTTTTATTGGTTCGAACCACCGACAAAAACTACTGAACCAATTTATTTAACCATAATGACGAAAGTCTGAGCTACAAAAAAGAAATCATAGTTTTCACTATGAAGCACAATTGCATACGGTAATTCTATATGAGTTGTAAAACCGTGGATGGTGAATTTACTAATAAGTGAGTGCAAGCGACTTTAATAATTCTTGAAATTAGATTCATGAGTTTTTTCCAATTTGAACATTTCTAATCGTAATACGTACCGTACCGTGGACAGGGGAAAGTGGAAAAACATCTTAAGATTGAAGCTCATGGGTGATGGTGGTCACGACCCTCAGACATGAGGAACACGATTCGAGGAGGAGGAATCGTAATCAGTTCGGATGTAAGCGTACTTGTGAGTAATAGAAACAAAGTTTTAATTTATCAAAAGAACAAATGATTTAAGGATAAGATTTATTTCAATGCTGCATATCAACAAACTACACACAAACGTGCGTAGGAGTGTTTTAAAAAATAGTGAAGTCAATTTGTCTCTTCGGCCAAGAAATGTGTACTGCTATGAATATAATTCATGTATGAAAAACATCGAAAAACTAATTTCACTACTATCGATGGACGATTGTATTATACATAAGGTCAAACATACCGAATTTTTTTTTCAATAGATGTAATCATTTTCAATCTTGTCGAAGCGGTGTTTTTTTCTACATTTATAGGTAGGGTATATAAGGCACAAGCAGTTGTTCCTATTCTACCAACTTTTGGCGCTGTCAAGCGTTGTATTATGCAACTGAATCTCGGACCTCATGTCCCAAGGTAAGTAGCGGTATTCACGTCATGTATCCGGTAACCGCTCAGTACCAGATGGGCAGCGGAACGGCTAGCTCCACTTTTACCATAATCTGCTATACAAAGTGGACGGAAAGCACGCCTAAAAACAAAAACTTGCAAGGTGCTAATAAAACTATTGTTACGCCAGTACGAGTAACGCCATCTATCGTCGAATAGTCGAACGAATATCGAAGGATCTAGTAGCACCTAGAACGCGCAAGAAGTACAACGCCATCTATTGTCAGATAGCGGAAACACAATACTAGAGATGTATGGAATATTCTCGATAATTCTAGGAATGTGGTATCGGCTATAAAAGCGTTGCAGAGATGGCATGCAGTCAGATAATAATCGGAACTACTCGAAGCGAAACAGCGAGCGGATCATCTGAAGCGAAGCGAAAGAAGCGAATTGAGAGTTTTAGTGTTTGTTGATTGTTTTAAGTGTTCTAAGTGTTAAATACAGTTTTTAGTTGTACTTTGATGGAACATTTATTTAGGTATCACGAACCCCAGCCCGTAACACTATTAAATAACATTTGAAAAATTCGATGGAACAATCTTGTTTTTTATGCTGGGAAAATACTTGGTGGTGGCCCGTATGTCCTGCATGCCTAGCATAGCTTCGTGAGGACGGGTGGAACAGGCTCAGCTGGAAAGGGTAGAGCTTATTAGCTACCCGAGCACCTTCAGTTGACGTAACGGTTCTATAGCAGCTGCTTCGCGAGTCCATCTACTATTGGATCGAAATCGTGACAATATGAGAAGATCCGGCGAGAAACTCTACGAGCTGATATGAATTAACTGTCTCTAATACCCCTTCTCTCACTCGCTTCAATGAATTTATTGGGTACTTTCATTTTTGGCTCTCTATTATCATGCATAAAAATAAAGCAATTGTTGCGTTTTGATCTGATATTTAGCTCGGTTTGCTTGTTGATACGTCATAATACCTTCAGGCATTTATACAATCGCAACCCGCACGCAAAACTTCCATAGTTAGTCCACGGTGCATTCAGTTCTGTTGAATTTGTTACGTTCATAAAATGCATTTTACATTTTGAATAACAGTGTTTTATTTATCTTGCATACGTATTTTGTGTATTTAATTTTTTAAGGTCTCTTATTTCA